GAAACATGGAACAACTCGCTTCAGTAAAAATCACAAAGCACGGAACGTACCACAGGATCAACCGTGGCAGCGGAAGCGTCAAGTTTTCATTTTGTTCGTAAAATGCTGTTGTTTTGGTTTGTCATAAGCGATATTAGAGAGGCCACAAAAACTGGCCAGGCTAATCATATGGCATGATAACTGACGGAAAAAGCCAACAGAATGATACTGAAGCACTGTTAAACGAACAGTACGGGAGATGAAAAATCGATACAATTATGCTGATGTGACGAGCTCAAAATAGAAAAGCTTTCCGCTGCATCGTAAATGGCAAGAAGGGAAATGAAATGGCATGAAACACACAGCTGCTGATCAAAATAATAAATGTGACCGGAACTTGGCAAGACGCGATCAGCAAACGTAAGGGGCATAATGACAGGGATGCCAAGATCGCTCTAATAATTGATATAAAGAAAGATTGTTGATGATGTTAGCTGAATGATCTCATACGCCCGGCGCAGCTATGGAAAAAAATAGAAACTAAGAAAGGAATGCCTTTTTTATTTCTCTCTTCTGCAGCACTTATTGCTCTGTCTCTGTTTACGGCTAAGGGATGAAACACAGACCACTCCATGATATGTTCATCGGAATATTTTTTACTCAGCTCAAAATATCTCGGTCTTTAAATCTATGGTGTAAAAGCAGTGCTGTAGCCTGAAAGCCAATGGCCAGTACTGCCCCTCTTATGATTTTTGTCTTAAAACTCCTTTTATATTCGTTTCTCCCGTCCCTCGGCTATGTGTTTTTCCTTAGAAGACAAGGATGGATCACAACTGAAATGTTTGTATAGACTTTTTGCTTTCCATTTTTCGATCAGAATTTGTTTTTAGAAAATCAACGCGTGATGCACTGTTGCGGCAGCAATCATTCAATAATGGAACAGTTTCCAGCGAAAGAAAAAAAAAAGCGTGGAAGCCCTTACATTACTGGCAGAAACAATCTCGAATGATAGATCAGTCACAAAGAAACACTAATTACAGCAAATGGAATTTATCAGCATGCTCTGAGCCAGCCCTACGAAGACATCACAGAACTCAGTAAATTATCACAGTCAGTACAGCAGGACCAGTGGACTTTATCTGTACAAAAGCAATGCACAACTCCCCGTACTACACTATTCGAGGCCAAAGAACCTGTTAACTCCTTGTACAAAAGTGACAATTAACGGCTGCCAGGCCACCAAATACCGTATCCAATCCAACAGCTGTCCGTAGAACAAATGAGGCCTCTCCCATCTGAAATCCAAATTAATTAGTAATGAAATATCAAAACCAATCGCAGCAAAACAGTATTTAAAGTATCTGGGAGCCTACAGACGTACTGCCCTGTTGAGGGATGAGCAAATGAGGGATGAAGAGCGAAAAAAATGAAAATACAATAAGGCTCAAAATGCAACCGAAAATAAGGTGCCACATAGTGGTCTAGGAGCGGCACCTGTCAGCACCTGTCTGATTTAACAAGCACCAAGGACATTTCGACGTAACTAACGATATGCCGAGTACTTTTATCTGTGAAATTGTAGCGTTGGTAATCTCTTCAAGAAGCGAAATGAACGTCAGAATCGCCAGCAAGCTGACTATCAAGCGATGCGGAATTGGTCAAAGTAACCAGAAAACTCGTCAGCCACAGAGATGAAGATTCAAGCTATGAAATAATAACTGCTCCAGATATTCAATTTCCAAAATTGCTTTGTTTTGCAATAAAAAAGACTAACGGATGTTTGAACATGCGCTTGAGATCAACTTTTTCTTTACAATACGGGCATGTTTGCTGTTTGCCAACGACGCACCAGCCGCGAATACAAAATTCATGGAATAGATGTCCACAGGATAGGCGATATGTTGCTTCATAATCCGCTTCCGTGTCATCCGTCTCCAAGCGATTTCCACAAACCGCGCAAACATTCGCTTCCAAAACCTTCTTTGGTAGTCCACTTTCAGTGTAATACTGTAAAAAAAAGAGGATCGAATTATCTCAAAAAAATTAAAAAAATCATTCTGAACAAAAAAGGCAAACAAAATTTAGTAGTTTCCTTGTGAAATTAAATGCTTTCCCTTCTTTTATATGCACAAGTCAGGTAACAGAGTGGCCAGTGCTGAAAAAAGTAGTTGCAAAACTGCGTTTATTGTCACAAAATATACCAAAAACGTAAAGTACCACGACTGTCACTGAAGGCAATATTTAAACAAATAGGGAAAAACAGAATGATGAAACCGTGAACTACGGTATCTCGAGTACCAGTCCGGCCACAAGTGCGACAACAATTTGCGAGAGTAAGATAACCTAATAAGCGAAGGTAGCACAAAAAAAGATGAGCTTTCCGCTCCAGTAACTTATGAAAAACGAAGCTGAAGGATCAACAGGATGGATACCCTAAAAACGACCTTTTCAAAATAAGGTACAGGCGTCGAATCACGTACCCCAACTTTAGATGCGATCCGATCGGTGCATATATGTGCGAAATCTCGGCCCAGCACTCCATAGTATAGACCATAAAAAAGCAACAACAGGCCGGCGTCCATCAGC